GTTTGATTCCCGCTGCTCTAGCCCGCCTTGCCCGCTGCCTTGCCCGCCTTGCCCGCTGCCCGCTGCCCTAGCCCGCCTTGGCGCCTTGCCAGCTGCCCGCGTCCGCTGCCCGCGTCCGCTTCGGCCTGCGGCGCTGTCTCGAGCGATCGAGCGGTGGAGGCGTCGAGCCCGCCTGCGGAGTGCGGCCTGCCCAAGTCGCGACTCGCGACTGCCTCGAGCGGTCGAGGCGTCGTCGCGTCGAGCCGCCTGCGGCCTGCCCAGGCCAGCGCGTCCAGCGGTTCTGGCGTTCTGCGACACAGCGAGTCAGCGAGTAGCGACAGTTTCGCGTCCGCGACAGTCCAGCTTCCGGCGTCCGCGCGGCTGTTCCGTGTCCGGCGTCAGGCTTACGCGGGTCGGGTCGGGTTGACCCGAACCCGAAGCGGGTCGGGTTCGGGTCCAGAAAATCGACCCGTTTGAAAAAACGGGTCGGGTCGACCCGAACCCGAATAGTACCGGGTCAATTTCGGGTTGACCCGAACCCGACCCGTAACCCGAAATTGACAGGTCTACGAGGAAGGCAGGGTTCAAACCCCGCACAAGTGGCGGCGAGTGCACGTGGACAGCCCACCGCCTGATAGTAGGATCGCAGAAGGGTAGTTGGGTCGCGGGCTTGCATCCTGATTTTGGGCTGGTGGTTGTATCACAAGCATGGGGGTTCATGGGCAAGCATGCGAGACTGGTTCTTGGGTGAGAGCAAAATTGGAACCTTTTTTTTTTTTTTCTGGAAACAATTTCTGTCAGAAATATTTTTTGATGGATTATATCTACTGGAAATCGGTCATAAATATTTCAGACGAAGTTATTTTTTCGGTGTTTATTTTCTTATGCATGTTCTACTGCTGAAAAGTTTTCTGTCAGAAATACAAAATATTCTCAGGTTTTAATTATTTTCCAGCGAAAATGGCCGCAAAAAATAACATTTTTCTGTAGTGAATCTAGTGGCGTATATGTGCAGAAAACTAAAATTTTTACTACAATGTTAAGAAGTGTATGATTATAAACAATATAAACACTTAGTAGCAATTTTAAATAAGATTATACTTAACCTTCCTAAGTGGAACTCGAACACTAGAGAACTTAAACACAATATTATTTTCTATTGATTCAGAATCAGTGCACATACTTTGTATGTTCCCCTCCAAATACTTAAAGTAAAAAAAATATCTTTCTCAGCAATAAAACCATCTACAATTAACCATTATGGTTGTACTTTATTGCATATATAATCTTTTAAAACTAAGAAGAATTTGTAATTGATGAAAACCCTTTATGAGGGGTCAGGCACATTTTTTTTTAGGGGAAACACACGGAGGGGCCTGCGCGTTAATATAAATCAAAATTACATAGTCCTTAAGGGGACATTCAGCTCACTAATGCTCAAAAAGCTACAACAATTAAAGAAAGAAAACCTAAGAGCCGATTGTCCCTTACTAACCAATATACAAAATTGCCGAGATACAATCTAAGGCGGCACAAAGACAGCGCCCAAAAAAGAAAGATCCAAAAATAAACAATCAGCACAATCTTTCTGCCAAAAAACACCCTCCATGCCAGAGAAAATATGAAAAAAAGCAGCAAACCAATCCAAAAGAGAAAACCCACAAAGAGAAGACAAATACCTGTATGAGTAGAAAAGATAAGCTCAGCATTGATCAACCAAATCAGGATATGTAATGAACCAAAGTAGGTGTAAATAGAAATGCCCCTAGGATACTGATGTAGAATCGTGCTTGGAGTGATAGAGGCACCCAACTGAAAATAATCCAAAATATTAGCATACCACATATAAAAATATTACAAAGTAAACCCCATAAAACCAAACACAGCATAATAACATTTAAATCCTGGGTCACCCTGAAAAAGGAAACCAAACTAGCAAGCACAAGCAAAATCAAAACAACCAGCAAGAAGATACAAGTAGACAAGCAAATAAAAAAGATGATCCAACACAAACTGCTGCGGCTATCCCACCACAACTGAACTCCATAAATAAACCAGGCAAGCAAGAAACAAACAAACCCCAAGCAGCATAATGAAGCAGTAGTGAATCAGATGCTGCCAAACCAAAATGAAAGACAAGCCCCATAAATTACCCAACAACACAACCAGAGAAAAATAGGATAGCCAAGTACCAGCTATCAGGGAGAGAGTCCAGCTACCCGAAGTGACAAAACCAAGAAAAACAAAAAGAAACAGCAAAGTAACCAAAGAACCGACATGGAAAATAGAGCATCCATCAACCAAGCCTAATCTAAGGTAATCCAAGTTTGTCCAGCTTAACTAAACCTCTCAAAAGAAAAGGCAAATTAGACTTACCAAACTCCTGAATAGCCTCAAGTTGACACCCAAATTTGACCAACCAATCAGCACAGAGATTACTTTCATGAAAAACATGAGCTATAGTATAATTAAGGGCAGAAAGCAATTATTTAATTCTTCTAATAATATAGAAAAGATGGGGATGGCCTGCAGTCTCATTCTGAATAATCTGAATTAATAATAAAGCATCCACCTCAATAGGCACATTAGTAATACATTTCCTATGGCAAATGTCAAGGCCATGGGGAAAGCCCCATAAGCTTAGTAGTAATCACCTTACAAAGGTTTAAAGAAACAGCATAAGCCATAATAACATCACCAGACTGATTACGAATAATGCCACCCATGTTTGCAATAGTGATCCCAACCAAATCATCAGTGTTAAGTTTAAAAAAAGGAGAAGTAGGTTTAAACCACTTCACTATTCTCTTAGAAATAATCAAAGGCTCGAGATTCATGAATATGCCAAACTCCAAAGTCAAATTAATCTTGTTATGCTTAGCATCATTTCTAGCCCTCCAAAGAAACCAGATTATAAGGATATGTAATAAATTATAGATGTGGTCTTTAGATTTAGTCACCTAAACCTCTAAATAGACAAAATATTCTTATAAAGATCAAAAATATCTCCAAACTTTTTGAGCAATAGTCCCATTAACAAACACATGATTAATATTCTTAATATTAAAACAACATTGACATTTAGAATGAAAGCTAAAACCTTTTTCCTTAAGTAAAGTGTCAACATATAGGAAACATTTAATGCATCTCCAAGTAAGAACAGAATAAGATAAAGGAATATTGTTGTGCTAAATAGTAGCGTAAATAAGAGGTTTTTCATGCTTCATTCTAAAATTATCCCAAACATTTTTAAGCTTGAAATTACCATACGGAGGTATATTAATACGATCACTGCAGTGTAATTGTAAAGGAATGTTCAGGATAATACTAATTAAATCAAAAGGGATAGCCTCCCTAAGTTTATTAACATTCCAATCTCCATTGTCAATGAAATTATGAACCTTAATATTATGCAGAGTATGAGTATTCAGATGGCTATCAATCGAATCATTCTCTAACCAATTATCTTGCCAAAAGAAAATATCGCCTTTGCCCAAACCCCATTGAATAAATTGTTCATCCTCTCATTTAATGTTGCACAACCTTTTCCAAACAAATGAATCAGGCCTTTTATAACTACAAGAAATAGGATGAAACTCTTTGCAATATTTAACATTTATAAATTGAGCCCACAAACTAATTTTAGATCTAAAAAAAACCATAATTTGTGAGAGAAGGTCGTAACAGTATTCATAAGAATTTTGTAACCTAAACCCCCTTTATTAAGGACACCACAAACCTTATTCCAAGAAGCCCAATAGATACAAGAGCTATTTTTCATTGAGCCCCAAAAAAACTTATTAATTATTCTCTCTAATCTAAGGCAAATAGAAGAAGAGGGTTGTAAAGTATAAAAAATAAAGATATGAATCAAATTTAAAACACTTTTAATAAGCACGAGTCTACCTACAAAAGAAAGTAAATTAGAAGTCCAGTTTGCTATTTTCCTTTGAAAAACAGTAAAAATCTCTTCAAAAATTTGATGTCTTTTTCTGCCTTTAAAAATAGGAGTGCCCAAATACTTGATAGGCAAGGAAATGCAATTAAAACCATAAATCCGCTTAATAAAATTAATTATACCCTAATTAACAGACTTTTAAATGATAAAACTGCTTTTTCATTGTTAATAGTCAAACCACTCAAATTTTAGAAAACAATTAAGAAGTTAACTAAAACTTTAATGTTATTAGTCGAGTCATTGAAAAATATAATAAAATCATCAGCAAAACTAAGGTGAGTAATAGGAATACCACCCATAGTCCGATAGAGAATGTTTGGGTGCCTTTTATATAATTCCTCCAAGCCCCTGGAAAGACAATCCACAACAATAATAAAAAGAGAAGGAGATAAAGGATGATCACCTTGCCTTAAACCTTAAGAGGATTTAAAGAAACTATGTTTTCTCCCATTAATGATAACTAAAAAGAAACAGTTCTCAATACTATTTTTAATAAGTTGAATAAAAGATTGACTAAAACCAAATAAAGATAAAATATTGTATAAGAAATTCCAATTCAAGTTATCATAAGCTTTAGTATTATCAAGTTTAAAAATGATATTGCCACCTTTCACCTTAGAATTGATATCATGAGTGATCTCTTGAGCAAGGAGAATATTATAAAAAATGCTCCTACCTTTCACAAAGCTAGTTTGATTGAAAGAAATAATTCTATGCAAAATATTAACCAACATAGTAGAAATAATTTTAGAAATAAGCTTTTTAAAGAAAGAACACAGGCTAATCGATCTAAAATCATTCCAATTGTTAGTAACACCTTTTTAGGAATTAAAACAATATTAGTAGAAGAAAAAAATTTAGGATAAGGGCTACTAGAAAAAAAACATCATTGACAACTTCCAACACATCCATCTTGATAATATTCCAAGTTTTCACAATGAATTTAGTGATGAAATCATGAGGTCCCGCAACAGAATTGATGTTCATATCCTTAATAACATTCCAAACTTCCTGCTCAGATGGAGGATGAACGAGCTTTTGGTTGTCACAATCAGTAATACAATGATGAATAACATAAGGATTAGTAATAGGAATAATATAGACCAATTGGCATCAAAAGGCTACTACTAAATTTATTGTTGAGGGTGATAGAAACACCAAGTTTTTTTATGCTTTAGCAAACAAGAAAAGGATTAGGAATCACATTTTAAAATTACTAGTGATGATGGAAGGGTCTTGGAGGGAGAATGCTATTTTAAATTCTGGGGTGGATCACTTTAGCAATATTTTTAATAGTGGTTTCTTGCCTTCTCCTATTGTGAATCTTTATATTGTTCCTTGTTGTATTCTGGATACTGATAATTTTAATCTCACTCTTGCCCCATCTGAGGAAGAAGTTTGGAAAGTTATGCAGGATATGAACGTGGATTCAGTGGCTGGAACGGATGGTTTCACTACTAAGTTCTTTATTCATACCTGGAATATTATTAAAGGTGATATTTTGGATGCGGTTTCTGATTTTTTCTCAGGTAAGCCCTACATTAAATTTTTCTCCTCTACCAAT